ACCAAGAATATAGATGCATTAAGATAACAAGGCAATATAATGATATCCCAACAAGTAAATAAATGTTCCAACAAGGAACGACCTCCAATCTTCACCTGCAACTAGCAACGCTATAAGAGGGGGCTGAGCAAAGCGGTAACATAGCCAATCAACGGTTTGCTAGGACAATGGTGGGTTAGAGGTTTGACATGGCAATTTGGGAGGCTTTCAAGCAAGTGGTAGGCATCATAGCAATGGCATAGCAAAAGAGCGAGCAAACTAGCATAGCAAAGATAGTAGTGATTTCGAGGGTATGATCATCTTGCCTGCACAGTTGTAAGAGTTGACTGGATCCTCGAAAGCAAACTCAACGGGCTCCTCGTTAGCGAACTCGTCTCCCGGCTCTACCCAAACAAGACAAACAAGCAACAAGGATACAATCAACCACGTGCAAACTCAAACAACACGATGCAAAGATGATATGCTATGCGGGATGCGATGCGGGATGCAAAATGCAAGATATGACAGGAAATGCATGAACCTGGACTCAACTTGGAATTCCAAGTGTGCCACTGGAAAGATGAGATGAAATCGCTTGAAAACGATATAAAGAACACCGGAATCGGAGTTACGGTTTGGAAATGGCAAGCGATTCAAAATGACACCGGTCTGCGATTTACAGCAAGTAGGCCTCTAAATGCAATGAGATGAACATGCTACAACACCCAAACATGACAACAAAATACATGGCAGGGATGCACACAAGATGCTTAATAAAAGTCTAGCACTGAGCTATGGCCAATTCATCCATTAACAGGTTCAAACAAGCATGGCAAAAATGCAAATGTCAAACAGATCTCAGACTTAGTGAAATTAACACTTGTGTGGAATTTCAGATCAGGTAGCCCTCTTCGGAGCAACAAAACTACATGCTACAGGATCTGAACATGGCAAAGTAAAGCATGGCATAGAGATACTCAAAGAGTTTAACACAAGTCCCTTAGTGACCTTGAGCCAAAAAGGATCAGAAAATACAATTGCAAGCACGTGAACATAGCAAAAACATAATCAGTTTTCATACTTAGTGAAAACTGGCACATGCTGAAATATAACTCAAGTAGGCATGTTTACGAGCTCGATGCACACACTACGGTGCAAGTCATGGCAAGACAAGCATACAACCATCAAGAAGGCACAAAATGCAAGCTAGACATGGCAAGAACAATAGCATAGCACGCACGGATCAACTACAACATCACCGGCAAAATTGCAAACAAGTTGACAATCTGCCCAGATTCACAAAGTAGCAAAAGTAGAGCTCGATTGACTCAAGCTAGGGTGCTCCATAATTGCAAACAAAGACACGGATGGATAGAGCACTACAAGATTAACAAAACTCCCTTACTGATCATCCTCAAAAGAGGCACGGATCACTAGGAAACAACAAGAACATATGGCATCATGAGATAAATAGATCCAGGACTTGGTGATATTACTAAGTTCCTGAAAACAGAATTAGCAAGTGCACCACTTTGCAAGCTTGCACAAGTCACCACACACATCCTAAAAATACAAGGGTTACACCTATGGAAAGATGACAAAACCCTTAACAAAACATAAGTAGAACTCACGGGCATATCATGCACACATTAATCATGGCAAAAAAGACAAAAGTGCTAAACGGAGTAACAGATCTGGCAATTAACTCAAGTAGCCCTCTTCTAACAGCATTTCGGGCATCAAGATGAACTCAAATGAAAATGATGCAATGGAACGAAATGATGTACTCTCCGAGGTGAACATTTTGATATGCTATATGCATGAATTGGAGCTACGGATGCAAAGTTACGGAGCCGCGAACATGAGTACTTGAACTAAAAATATCAGGGACTTAGACGAAATTTTACCCTCCAGATCTAGGGTTTCGGCGGGCACACGAACCGAGGCAGCGTCGCACTGTAGCAGTTCGCCGGAAATGGCGCCGGAGTGGTCGGGGAAGCAAGGGCCGACCGGATCTTCGCCGGATCCGGGCCGGGCGGCGGCGCGCGGCGAGGCGGCGGCGGCGGGGCGGCGCGGTGTAGTGCAGGCGAGGCGGCGGCGCGGTGCG